TATCCTAAGAGCTATTATAAATCATAATCCTTGCTATAATACTGTATAAATATCGCATTTAACTGCAATAAACGTTAAACATTAATTAAAGTCAAGGTTCATATATGTCAAAGACGTGTATATATTATTGTTTTCTTCTTTTAATACTTGTTACGAGTTAATGATCAATTAATGCGAGAACAAAAACATAATTTTACTAACCTTATCAGGTGTAAGTTTCGCTAGGAGTCTGAATAATTCACTGGATTTTGAGAGTTTCCTCGGGTCTCCTTGCTTTCTAGGGATGTCCTCATCATCAGAATGAGTCGGAGATTCTACAGGTGTGAAAAATGTACTCATGTGATCAGCATTTGCCGCATGTTGCCGTGATTCGGTCACAATGCCTTGTAATAATGGAGTTCTTTCTGTATCCGGAAAACCTGTAAATTTCATAATTTCATCGGTATTCTATCAGATTAATTTACGAAAATCAAGATTAAATATCAAAATGCAATACTTTCTACTTCATATATCATGTCATTAAACTAGTATTCTTGTAAATATTTGTGTACATAAATGTTCGGGTTTACATTGTTATTTCTCGTGTCGTATCAGTTGTTGACAAATAGCAAAAACAAAAAAACATTTAGACCACACACTGAGAGAAAAACAGAAAGAGACCGCTTACTAAGAATCCAATTTCTTGCTTGAGTTTCCTGAGGTATCACACGAAAATCAAAGAACCAAGCTTCTGCCCATGCTAATACAAAAGATGTCAAGATCAGCAGAACTTGGAATACTGGTTGATTAGCTGATGTCCACTGAAATCATAAAACGTTAAATGAATTAAATAAAAAAAAATAATAAAGATAATACATAAGTATTTCAAAGACACTTACATCAAAAAGAAAAACTTTGGCAATTAAAAAGGCACATGTTGTGGCAGTTGATATCTGTAAAATACAAGTTCAAAATTATTTTTATGTTATATATATTTTTTGAAAATGAAGTTGTTAACAAAAATTTATTCTTTCTTTTGTTGTTTACACATTATAAATAAATTTTTTTTTTCGCGAAAAGGTTAAATTGACAAACATACTTACAGCTACAATGATCCAGTGATTCAGATACAGTAGCGCATAAAAGAGCAACAAGACCGTGAACCTGCAAATCGCTGCCATCTGAGAAGATGAAATCCATAAAATCTCTGCTCCCCCAATGAATAATGGAAAATTATGACGAACTGAATGTCATTGTCGTCATTCTGTTATTAAACTAATTAGTAATGAATGACAAAATATACTCACCACAATATCAAATAAAGACGTCTTTATATGATAGTGTATCACCTGATCTGTGAAAGCTGTACGTAAACTTTCACCTGCAATCTGTAAATATAATAAGCGACCGTAAATTTCGATTAAAAAAAAAAAATATATATATATATACACATGAATCAAATGTCACAGCAATTTAACTTCGTTAGACTTTTTACAAAAATACATTATAAATTTAATGAATTTTTGTCATCAATAAGTAATACGTAAATAAAAACATGCAGCAAAAGATAATTGTTTGCTTATAAATGCACAAATGTCCTTATCGCGAACAGTAGACAGAAGCAAACGAGTACATAAAAATAAAAAATTGCATCTTTAACAAGATCAAGTTTTCGATCTAATTTGATTAAATGATCAGGTAATGTTCTTGTACCATCGTGCAAATGAGCCACATGAGGAATGTAAAAAGAAGGTCAAAGGTGACGAAGAGGCAAAAAAAACGTCTGACATTTGACATCCTGCCGTTGTGTCTCGCTCCTGCGATCAGATCTTCGCTGAGAACAATATCCGGCGTTCGCGTTATACTGTGCTGAGTAACCGAACTTCTCTGAGAGTTGATTGAGCCACTTAATATAGCTTCAGCAGCCATTCTAATTTGCCTCTCATCTTCTGCCATCCTTTCGATGTACTTTTGATGTCGTCGTCGTAACGTCGACCTTTAAGAAAATGGATCATGTAGTAAGCATGTGCAAATTTGTAATAGAAACAGTAGTAATAATAGCATGACTATTCGTTTTAGTTTTTCGTAATTTTTATGTTTTATATCTTCCTGTCTTATTTCTTCTTCCAAAATTAGAATTTACTTCATTTCAAATGTAGAAAATGCAATAGAAACAGAGCTAAAATTAATATATCTGACATATGAATATTTATGTTTCGCAAGAACTAAATGCTGCTACAAGAATGATGCTAAAAATAAATTACTAGTTGAGAAAGTATTACATGCTGGATTGTGTAATATGTCATTTTATCAGTTAATGAACTCTTATTAAATGATGAAATGACATATTACACAATTCAGCATATGTAATACTTTATCAACTAATAATCTATTTTTCCTTCTTATTAGTTGCTGTTACATATACGCAAGGTAAATACATTATTATATGCATGAATAAAAGTGACGGTGATTTAAATATTTTCTTGTATAAGATTATTACAATAATACAATCTTGGAAAATAATATCAAATTCATTATTTTGATATTAACAGTGCAAGAAGTTCGAATCGTGCAAGAAATTCAGTTAAAAAAATAAGTCTATTGTACTGATATGTTTACAGGATCACAGTTAATAAAATGCAATGTTATATATATATATATATACAGAGTGGTCTATTTTAATCAGTCTACTAGAATAAAATATCTCAAAATACTTAAGTTTAAGAAAATAATATTTTTGACAAAAATTGCTCAGTTATTATGGAGAAAGATGATAGTGACCTAAGAATACATAGACATAGTAGTTTTCTGTTCCCTTTGAAATGCTTTAATGTGAGTTTTGCTCTCATGATGGGATGCAATAAAAAATGTATTTAAAATAGCGTAAAATGAAAAAGAAATTTAAAAAATTCAAGGTGAAGATTTCAAGCTGAACTCGAGGACTGTGTGTCAAAGTCGAGCAAAATTATTATCTTCTCTTCGTCTCAAACCTTTGTCTCAAACTTAATTTCTTTAAGTAGATTGATTAAACTTAGACATGTAACTTCAAGAAAAAAACAGTTTATTATAGTGTTTTGAAAAGGTCTTGAAGTCAGCTATGAAACTAAAATAAAAAATGAGGATTACAATTTAACAAATTTGAGATGTCCTTGATCTGACCTTAAACGTTTCTTAACGTAAATCAAAGTCAACATTTTTTTCCCCACACTAAGCAATTTTTGTCTTAAACTTGAAGATTTTAAGATATTCTAATGTGAACTTATTAAAATGAATAACACAGTATATACATCATTACACATACAATGTGCTCTTTCGTAAACGATTTCATAGGCTCAAGAGTGTAATCAAGAGTGTAATCTGATAACATATCGTAGATTAAAACGGAACACATTGTTATTGGTATATGCTATCATTTCTTTTTTGTGATATATTTAACATCAAAATCACGGTATACAAAGATATTAATCATGAAATAGTTATGCTGAATTGTTTTGGCACAAATCTCTCCGGAAGGAAGAGATTCAGAAGGAATATTCCATTCGGCGCGACTCTGTCATAGGAGTTAATGCGACGTCCTAACCTCAAAATCGCGAAAACTATTGTTTACTATATCGCCGTGACGGATAGCCGAACTTGAAAAATCGTCGAAGCGAATTTTGTGCGTTCTCGCTATCACTCGAGAGATATTCACGTCACGAACGAAGTACCATCGCATTGTGCTTCGACCTTCAGCGTTTCCGCTTGAAATTTTTTCTCTGTTCCTTACAGTTTTACGACCGGGAGCTCTCATAGATACGGCCAGGTAGTTGAATTGTTTATCGACGAAACAATGTCATGCACATGCATCGCGTCGCATGTCGTTGCGCGATAACGAGGAAACCATTCGGTTGCACCACTGTATCGAATCGCCGAGTATAAACAAGAGAGCACAAAGTGATGTTTAGTCACGCCTGAAGTTGGACATTTCGGAGTCGCCGCTAAGCTATGCTGTCAAACGTTACAACTTCATGCGATTGCATTTACTCCTTATGGTTGAACCTTGTTGCACTTTTTATCTTTTTTCTTTCTTTTTCCAATGTTCGATCTTGTTTTAAGTGCAGAAAGTGTAATATAATTCAACTGTAAATAATGGATAAAAAAATAAATGTTTTCCATTTAGTGATATAAGTTAACACAAACATCGTTTTATCTGTTTTTATATTCCATAAATGAAAGATAGAACGATACTTGTATCAAATGGAAAGCACTCAATAACTAGAAGTATATATGTGTAATCTTTCCAGAATTTTTATACAAATGTTGGAATATTACAAGAGCAACATTAGAAGCCGTATGGTTAAGAAAATAAATATTCAGATTGTTTCCAAATTCAAAATCAATCGTTTTATCATAAAATGATATAATAAATATATATTATTATAAAAGTGTTATTAGAATACTATATTTTATCAAGAATTTGGCATTTGCACATTAAAACTTATTATAAAATACATTAAGTTTGTTCAACTGAATAAAATGATACATTAATGTATGTATATATATATATATATATCTATATCTTTTAATTATTTATAAGCTAAAATATTTTAAATGTATATAAAAAATGGTAACATCTAGTTTTTGTTCAGACTGATAAACAGATATTTAGTATTTGTGTAGGTACAAATAATATTTTTAGGTATTAAATTATATAGTAATAATATGTAATGTCATATATTAAATCTTAAATACATGTTACATACTTATAAGACTATACATAATGATTGATATAAATCTTAAAAAATATAGTTATAATACTCAAAAAAATTTTTTTTTAATTAATTTGTTTTTTTCTTACTCCAAAAAGTTCCGTTAATGCCCGAATTTGACTATTAGATCATAGTATTTCAATAACTTCTGCATGTTCGTTGTTACTAAATATTTACGTGTTACATCCTAAATGTTTTTATCTACAGAAATTAATTTTAATAAAAAATATAGGAATGATATTTACACCAGTATAAAATTTTATATTTGTGTTATTTATATAAATGTTATTTGAATGTTCTAATCTATTAATTTAATCAAGAAGGATGATAGTTTGTAAGGAATCTTCGAGAAAAGTCTCTATTTCCGCAATGGTGCCGAAATTGAAGGGGACTGCTATTCCACCATCCAGAACCAAACCCGCATCGAAGCACTGTGATTTCACAATGGCCTTTCTACAGAAACCACGAGTGTGGACGTCTTTCGGAACGGGTATTGCATTGGTCATTATCATATCTCTTATGGAATAACACAGTTTGGAATCCCCTGTAAACCAAAATAGCATCATATCGATATCGTATTTTTTTTTATTATTCACATATCGTACGTACACTGACCTGCGTCAAATCGTAAGCTGCTATTAAACGTTGAACAAATCATTTCGATTTCTTCATTAGTGAATGGCCGTTTAGTATCTATGAGATTTAATATTTCCCGTACGGTTTGGTGATTTAAACTGTGTATAGATTTATACCAAGATGTTGATCCTGTTCCAGTGCTCACGCACAAACCGGAGCCTTTTATTTTGTGATACTCTTGCTCTTCATCGAACTTTATGAGTAAGGAACTCGTCCGTGCCGATAATGTTTCACCCATGAAAACCTAGCGACAAAAAGCAGGCCTGAGATTTCTTTTATGCATAAAAGAGCAAGTCATCCGACTTCTAATATTTGTACGTGCATCGAGGAGCATTAACAAACTCACTTCGTTAAGCGCTAACCAAGGTAGACGCCTTTCTTTTGGTAAACTGTGCTTGCTTTCGAACCTTTCGTTCGTATAAAACCTATAAAATACATAATAAAATAATTAAATAATCGGGTTTGCAGTACAAAATACAGAAATGATAGATATAAGTTTAAAAATATACTATTATGATTTTAAAAATATAAATTAGTTATAATTAATAATTTATAGTATTAATATAACGTGCCTATCACTACCAACAATGCGTCCTTTCTCATGCATATGAAAGGGAGCTTGCCATATGTCTTCTCCCTTTAAAGTGATCCGAATTCGTCTTCGCATGAGTATACTATAGTGTCCTGCTCTTAGCATTTCGAAAATTTCTGGTATGTTTTTCGTATATTTCGCTGATAATAGGAGATAGCCTTCCGACTTTTCAGGATAGGAATTAATACCTATTATAGGTTTTTTATTGTTAAATACTAAATTCGAGGCTAAGAGAAACGTTCCGTCACCGCCAATTGGCAGCACCAAATCCGCCCATGTAAAAAGTGAATGATCTAAACTTGTTCTGAAAAAATACAATACATCTTTATTTGGTAATAAATGTTTAATGATTAATATTTTTAATTTTGACATAAGAAATCGAATTTGTTTATTGAGTTTAATAAAGTTAGTACACACGTGGCGACTGCCGCTACACTATTCTAGCTATACATACAGAATATCATAGCAAGCTCTCTGAAGGAGAGGCCGAACATTAATACAAGGTAATAGCGACAAAGAACAGAGAATTGAGAATCAATGTGATTGGACATGTACGTTAATTCACTTAATAAACAGAACATGCCGTACAATTGGGAAGATTAAATTTTCCACTTCTCCACTTTATCTTCCTATAAAATATCCAACTCTAAACACATGATTTTTTACGACCAACTTTATCGTAAATTTAAGAAATTAAGAAATGTGGATTTTGCTATTTTCCAATTATACTTTTTTAATTATTATTTTTTTACCAAAAAGATTTGAACTCACCTATCTACTACCTTATATTCCATATTCATCTTTTGCAAAAGGTGAATAACTTGATTTTCTACATCTTTGGTAGCCAAGTGGCTGGCGAGCATATTATCATAATCTGAACCTCTTTCTACCAATTTCATCTTCAGCTGGGCCTCGCTGAGCTCGGGTTCTCGTAATCTTTCGAAATGGTATCGGGACAATTTTGCCACGATAAGTACCTTCTTAGGCACAAAACTAGATTCATTTCGAAAGAAAAAGTGCAGACTTCTGTGTACATGAATAGGATACTGTAAAAGCTGCAGCGTTCCTATAAAGAAATTATATATAATCAGATACCAATTATTAATTTCATGTATTCTCATGTTTTTTATTCATAATAGAATGAAACAGATAAAGGCTGTTTCTAAAATATATTTTTATTAATTTGAATCAATTATAATTTAATTAATTACTAATGAATGTACTAATTAATGAAACTTCGAAATTTTGAAACTTGAACTGAACTTTTCAGCTCATATATTCACAGTTTTCCTTTAAAATCATCAATACAATATGTAAAGTTAAATTAATCATTTGATAAAAGCATCATGCATATTGTTTAATTTACATAAATAAATTAAATTAATAATTCACAATTAATTTGTATAACTGTTTGTTTTATTTTACAAATATATAAAAACGTAAGAAAACACTAAGGCCCGTTTTCACAATGTATATGGTTACCTAAAGATTAAAGGTTACCAACAGATTCATCAATAAAATTCATTCATAAATTTCTTGATTACCTTTAATCTTTAGGTAACCATATTGTGAAATCGGGCCTATGAGTCGGTTGTTCCATCTTTTGGTAAATTTTACCTGTGAGGTAAATCTGGCAGTCCATGCATGTGATTAGGTAATCTTGCTACTTATCCAACAGGTAAAATTTACCAAAAGGAACAACCAGTTCTAAAACATGTTTTTAAAGATATATTTCAAAATAAATGTATATTTATGATGACCTTTATTTTAGATAGCTATCTTTTATAAGCCTTCTACAATAAGCCATTAGTCATAAATCAGAAGTCAGAAGCTAAAAATTGACGACTGTAATTGGTCAATTTTTAGCTTCTGACTTCTGATTTATGACTAATGGTTATTGTAGAAGGCCCATTAGATTTATTTGTTTCTTCAAAACTCAATTTTCCTTTATTTGTCCTTCATTTTTCAATGTTGTCCTTTATGGTTTGAAAACATATAGGAACAAAGCTTAACATTTTCAAATTTGTCTTTTATTTTTTTTAAGAAAATATGGTTACCGTAATTATATTAAATATACATATGATATGATAGTGTTCTTACAATTGTCTCTAATACCAAAATATAAATTGCTTAATCATGTGATAAAAACAGTAGGTCTGTTCACGTTGCTTGTTTTTTTTTGCATTTAGCATCTCTTTGCTTTCTTTCTTTTCAACATTTGAATATATATAATTTATTTCATTTTAAGTGCAAACATTTTTGGAAATTTCAAGTAACGCGAAGAAATCTAATTACAAGAATCAAGGGCTGTCATTAAAATGTCATAAGAATGTGCTCTTTCTTCCATTATATGTGTTATAATAAATAACATTTAAATGTTCAGGGCGTAAGTACTAAATATTCTTTATAAATGGTAATTCTTTTTCGGAAAGGTTATGTCGATATTATTATCGCAATATCGTGAGCGTGCAAAAATCATCGAGTGCTTTTTATTTAGTGATACAGGTCGACACAAACATCATCCTATCTTTCGTGATATTTGATGAGCAACAAAGATAGAACGACACTTGTGTTAAAAAATGGAAAGCACACATTGTGTTGTGTGAAATAAACGATGACATTAGACTGCACTTTTCGCACTTGAAACGAGATAGTACATTTAAGTTTGTATACATTTCAGTTTTGCTGCTAGCAGAAAAGAGGACAAAAACGACGAGATAATAAAAAGTTCAGCAGAAAAACTCGATCTACATCTATGATGCTTGTCCCAAACTTTCCAATCTCTATTCTTCTAATCATATCTCTTGTCACTATCTCAACGTATAACTGATTGCGACGGACGATATGAAATACAATAAAATTGCACGAGGAATAATTTAGCGAATACTTGATCAGCACACGCGATCTGTGAATTATTATACTCACTGGCAGTTCCACAAAGGTAGTTGAAAACCGTCATCGCATGATGAGCGAAGTGTTCACGTGGGCAATACCGAGTCGTGTCGAATGATGAGCCGCTCCGTGGGGCAATTGATTAACGGGTGCGTAACCGATCCCCTCTCATTGGCACGAGCCATGCGGCGATCGAATACCGTACCTCGTTACTTGTGTACACCTGTACACAATAACCCCGTCGCAAACGAAGGTCGAAGTCGAGCGTCCTCGACGTTCTCGTTGCTGTTTTGGCCGTTTCGGGCCGTTTGCCTGTGTTTACCCGGTTTGTCGTTGCAGAATCCACTCTGAAGTTAGCTTCGCTGCATGATCGGCACCACGATCGACCGATCGGCATCGCGCTTGCTCCGCGGCGGCAAATTCGAATTTTGCACGCGCTCGCACGGTGAAAAAAACTCACGAGAATGTACATGTATATGTGAATATACGCGGATGTGTATGTTATACTTATTGCACTATAATCAATTATCGACATTTTGCATTACCAAGAAAAAATGATCAAAGAAATGTTTTGAGAAATAGAATTAAAATTTAAAAGTAAAATTGACAAAATTTCTCTGACTATAGATACAATTGACAATGAAAATTCTTAATTTTTTTTTCAAGAGTAAAAAAGAAATTCTTTAAGTTTCCGATTTTCCAGGTGTTCTTCAGGTAGTAAACATCCTGAATATAATATTAATTGTTACTCTAATATATTAGTGTCTTCTGAATTTGCATATTGACATATGTAGTAATTTATTAGGAATCAAGTAAATCTAGAAAAACGAAATATTACAATAATTTAACATAATTTTTAGAAAACTATGTCAATCTCTTTTCGACATGATTTTAATTTATAGACGAAAATATCTAAAGATGTAAATTAAGAAAGTTTAATAAAATTTCTATCGATATCCAGGTGAAATTGATATAAGTATATATCTATAAGATTTGCAAAAGCATTCTGATGAAGTTTTTTTTATGGGAAGAGGTTCAGCCTATTCTTGTATATCTTAATTTTTACATGCCAGGAGGTCTTAACTGTTCTCATCAAGAATTTTATTGAAGTTGCCAAAAGAAAAAGTCGCACTATATAGATACACGCTTCGCTTACACTTTATTAATTCATTTGCAATACATTAATTAAGTCTGTTTAAATAGCATCGAGGCTACCTAACGTATGCCTTCGTGTATACGATAGACAAACAATCACCTAACTTAAACATCGCGCTCTCTTTCTTTTTTATTTTCATACACACACATGCATTCTCATTTACCTTTCTCTCCATTTCTTTCATTCTTGTGCTCACTCACTTACTCTCCTTCCATACAATTCCTTCGTTTCTCTTTATCCGCTCCGTTAATCGATATCAATTATTATTACTATTACCATTGTCTCTCATTTTTATATACTATATATATATATTTATTTATTTATACTATATATATATATATATATATATATATCGTAAGATCGACGTTTAAAAACTAAAATTCGTATAAAAAGCGTCGTTATTCGTACTAACAATGTATTTGTACTATTTAAATAATAATTAAATTTTAAAAAATTATTTGTTTCTGTTGTGTGTCGGTTTTGTTGTTTGAATGTATGAGATGTCTAAACGTATCGGCTATTGTATGACGGTGCGAGGCGCAGTGCTCCTAGTGGCACGGCCGGTGCCTCCCGAAGAACAATCGGTAAGATCGACAAAATGCCCCACAATCTGCGCTTTTTTTATATCAGTAAACTTGTACATACATGAATCGATTGCAGTCTCTCGTTGTATGTTGCGAAAAGCTAACGATTTTCTTTTTCTTTTTTTTTACTGAAAAAGTTAAAATTACACGCGAGACAAGAACAAAGCGAGGACAAAACAGGAAAAAACAGAAACAATAAAATTGTTCATCACTACCTTCGCAAATTAACACGCAGAGTGTCTCAAATTTGAATGCTGTACAAACGTGAAGATAGATGATCGCTAATAATTAAATTTGTAGATTCTTAAAATCATAGTATTTCAAATTAAAAAAATCTTTTAAATTTCATTTCATCAGCAAATTCTAAAAAAAATGAAGTTAACAAATTACTGTCTTTTCTTAGCATTCGACGTATCGAAACACCACGGAATTTACAATTATCGCGCAATCTCGTCAGCGATCTTACCGGATGTTCATTCTTAAATTACGATGCTCAACGTTCGACGCTCTGTTTCAATCACATCCTGAACGATATTAATTACTTTTTACTTCGTAGTCGTTCCTCCGCTGGCATTTATACTTTACCTAATACTTTTACACGCTACGAATGTTTTTTTTTTCCTTTTTCCTTAAACCGTAATCATTTAGCATGTCACACTACGGTTGAACTCCCTCTCCCCCGGGTTTCTCTCGCTATTACCAACTATTTTGCTATTACGAGCAATAATGTACATCAATTACAAAACAAGATACAAGTGTTAATGTGTTTTTGTTACATCATCGACACCGTCTCGCGTAAGATGGTTGTACTTACAAATATACCACATTTATTAATCGGAGAAACTCGCCGCCGTTTGACAATCTATCGTTCACAGAACGATGTACTATCCCTTCGCGTTTTATTCTACGGCGACACTGCGACGATACTTCGAAAGATCTTTCGACGACCGAGCGCAGATTATCGTCCTTAGAAAATTCTGCGCTGATGGAAGAAAACCGACGTGAGTCACACCGCATCGTCGAGCTCGACGCGGGGAAAATTGCAAATATAATCTTAACATTATAATAATAATACTACGCACGCATGCGCGCGGTGTAATTACGAAAACCTAGCTTTTCAATGACGACAAAAACACAATCGCGTTACTTCCGAAAAAGAATTCGTTCCCTCAAAGGCGCTCGTTATGCAATGCATTCTTATTGCATTTGAATAATTTTTATACTAATCGCATTTTCGGACGCCTCAATCGGTTTGACAGATGATGGTAATATTGTTCCTGAATGTCTAATTTTGTTGTGTATATGTTGCGTTGATTCGGAACTTTCATGACACTCTCGATGAACGAAAAATAGGAAGCTAGATGGATGCTGCCACTTTTGCGGATAACGAACGACATTTCCGCGTGCAAAATCGGTTAAAATAATCTCTAAATAATAAATATTGGGTTGATGAACTTAACGCAATGCAAATCTCTCTAACGGCAGTGGAAGATTTTGGATTTACATATGCAACGTATACTATTCCAAACGACATTACATGTTGCATAAAATCAAACAGACAGAGTATTCTAGAAAAACTTGACATTTTTTTCTACGAGCAAAATTCTCAGCGTATCGTTCATACATGGGATACGCAAGACGCAACATGTGGTTAATTAATAGGGAATAATCATTGACTACGTTACAATAATCGTCTAACATTCTTCTTTTACAAAAGTAACAGCAGTTACAATAGTAGATCCTATACTTATTAATTTGACAGATTTTTAATATCCGCGAATCAATACAACACAGTCACAGTAAAGACATATATTCTTGTCTTAGAATACTGATGTGTGAAAATATGAATATTTTCTCTCTTCGTTATGTTATGAATAGTTTCATTCTGCATACATCATGCGTCTTTTGTCATGTAATTCACAAGTTAACGAAACCTGACATTAAATGCAAAGAACGTAAGAAATCAAATTGGTTCTGCGAAACGGTGTTAAGATCTTTTCTTCAATTTGTAATAGGATGGTCCAGATAATCGGGAATAAATCTTACTTGCAAATTATAAAAAAAACTTTATTCTTCTTATTGGACATAAGTGCTGCTCGATCATCTTTGCAAAGAGAACGAATAAAGTTTTTTTTATAATTATTATTGATTTAGGTTGTGTAGTCATAATTATTATGAATTAATAATAATTAATAATATTATGAATTAATAATTTTATTCTTCTATCTAGATTGTCATATTACAAATTGAAACATTAACTTCGTTCATCGTTTTGTCTATTCTACTTCTACAGCGAATAATACCCTTCTCGTGCTCATCCGTGGGCAAATGTACGCTTGCATGTATGTATGTTGTGACATGTGTACAATATATGTATATAGATTCTGTATACATATACACTATATTCATATTCATATTTATATATTTATATATACATATATAACTTCTCTCTTTTTCACATTTATTACTTTGCAAAATATTTCTTTTGCCGACGATACGTCGGCGTTAAGCCCGTATAATACAATCGCAAATTACACTTTTGTCGCTTAGGCAAATGTTCACTTGTTTATCGGTAAGTACAATGACCATTCGCATCGCTCCGTCCTAATCGACGAAGATCGAAACGATGCGCGCATGCTTCTATCTGAATAATCACGTCGATGTCGAGAAGTGCTTGTTATCGGAGACCAAGATCTCGACCTTAAGTGCGATACTTGTCACACTTTTATCAATATTCGTTAAACCGAAGCCGAATGTCCGATCGGCTTAGAACGTCTCGCTATAATACTTTACAATGAGTAAGTTTGACGAAAATCGCGTCATAGGTGCTAACAAGGAAATGAAGTACGAGACATTCGTGTCACAGTATACCCAAGTACTAGAGCATTTTATGAAACGCGAGAAAAACGCACTCGCGTAAGTGATGAACAGCGAGAATGGATGATACAATAGGCGAGTGTGTATCCGCGTTCACAGCAATTACTATTACAATGGAAAATTCGATTGGCCGCTAGAACGAGGCCGACTAATGCTTGGAAGTGAAGTGGTAGAGGGTGGATCAGTCCCTTTCGACGACTGTCGGTCTATCGCGATTGACTGTCGGTGACGCGACGCATATCCTAATAGTAGAAGTGAGCGAAGCTGTTGCAGGTGTTGCGCGAACGTACCGAACCTCAGCTATGCGTTTGTGGATGCGGAGGCGGCGTGCCGGTGATCTCGGTCCAGCGCATTTCGAAGAAACTGCGCATCCCGTGGCCGGCCTTGCCCACAGGACTGTCATCCTCGTTGAATACCTCGCAGTTGATGAACATCTGCCTGACATCGGCGCAAAACTCATCGCGAGACTTGTACCTGCATCGAGAAGCACTCGTTGTGAAAAACTTCAGCCTTCCAATGCCGACCAAGGTTGACGATCGGTCAATAGGGGTTTTTTTTTTTTGCGATCAGTCTATATGTGTGTGTATGTTAGATCTATTAGGCCTGTTTTAAAGACCAAGAGTTTTTGAGAGGAAAGGCAGCTAAAGATAGTACGTTCACTTAACTAATCGCTGGCGCGTATTGGACAACTTACGCGGAGTCCTGCAACTTCTTCTTAATCGTACTGAGATCCATGGGGGTTTTTATGATTTTCTTGTAGGTCGGGAACTGTTTGGTGTTCACCGGCAGGAGGAACGGCCAGGCCTCGTCCTGTTGCTCCAACTGTTCGAGGAGTATCTTACAAGGCGCCAGCTCTCGTTGTTGCTTCTTCGTGAGCGTCCGATTGTTACCCTCCTTCCGTGGTGAGGCGGTAGGAGTCGGCGGTTCCGACGAACTGACATCCTCTACGTGCGTGTTCGATGCCGTTGATGGCGTTGGACTGCGGCGCAAAACAACAGAGAAATTATTTGCACGATTAGCTTCCGTTCTGCAGGAGGTTTCCCGTCATAAAAGCCTCTGGACGAATGCGCAAGGACGAATTGCATAAGATTCGATCGTGTGTCCGGCTGAGACGGGTACGCTGCTCCCGATGAATTATTTGCGTTTCTCTCTGACTCTCTGTCTCTCGTTCGTTCTCTACTTCGTTCTATTACTTTTTCCGTTCTATTTTTCGCCCTCTTGCGCTCTCTCGTTTTTATTTCCGACTCATCATACACGACCTGAAGGCGGCTCTACTGTTACGATGAATATTTCTGACAAAATATCTATTTCACAGTCGGCGATCGCAAATACACTAGACAACAACGATGTATCATGAATGTACAGGGTGTCCCGTAGAAACTTGGGATAAGACACTGAAGAAACGGAAATCACTTGGGAAAATCTATTAGTTACAATCACCTTCAAAAAATGGAAAATTAAATCTAGCTTCTCGTAGAACACCCTGCATAAAAGGAAAAGTTCCTCGAGACGACAAAAATTCTCGGCGGTATTACGACACGGGCCGAGGATTAAGTAGGTAAACGCATGAGTACAGTGTATACAGATAGTTTTCGTATACAGAGTTAGATTCGTATTGAGATTACTTTATTCAATCGGGAATAATACTTGTCCGCCATTTGCGGTTGCGATGAATATTATCAAATCGTTCATTATAGCTGTTTTCTAATATACTTCGCATGAAACGTCATTAAGCCAGCAACTTGACAATGTTTGTTTGTTTTTAACGTAATCACCTAGCTGGTGGATGATCAGAACTTTCACTTTCTCTGGTGCCTCCCCCTTTGGTATGACTCCTTCGACTACTATTTCTCTTCTTTGGTTGTTTACTGTGGCAATTAGAGCAATACCATTTCCCTCGTGGCATCTGTAAGCAAAATATATTATGTACAAAATTTATACTTGCAGCACATGTTTGATTTAGTTAAATAACGAGATCTTCAAGTATTTAGAGACGTATTTTGATAATTACTTACTTTTGGCATGACAGGATTGTGGCAGTCAGTGTGATAAGCCCTAGGACAGAGTTCGCATAGGACCAGATTTTTACCCGCTCTCTTTCCACACACTAAACAATTGCGTTCACCTGTTGCTTTGTTCATACATTCGTGACAATACCTGGAAGTAACAGCAAAATACTTAAAACTCTTTGCGTCAAATAGAATCAGACAAGAATGTGATACGTATAAGCGTTACTTACCAGTCACCATCAGGAATGTTTTCCATTTTTGGACGGAAACAGTAAGTATGGTAGCCACGGTCACAGCCATCACAGAGCAGCAGCTTATCTTCGTTGTCTCCACTATGACAAAACTGGCAATTCTGCAACCAAAATAAATGAACTTCTCATTTAAAAGAAAACGGAAGAGTTAATCATTGATGGCTAAAATAGCATGAAGATTATAGCAGTTTGTTAGTTGAGCACTTAAAATAATTTTTAAAGCAATAACAAAGCTCTAGATAAGTATAGACAATGTATGTATTCAATTAATAAAGCGCAAAAACACAATTAAAAATTACGCAAAAATAAAAGCTAATTATAAGCTAAATAAGGTCTATATATAATAAAAATCAATCCAAAATAATTTAGTATCGATTTAATCTAAATAAATATTCATAAAATAATAAGACAAAGATATTTTTGGTTATCACATATCACAAGATGAATCACAAAATCTATGTTATATGCACTCATATTATAATAAATATAACTTAAATACGTGCAATAATACAAACGTAAGCAACAGTAAATCAATCATGATGACGACAATGAAATTTTTCTGAATGCACTAGAATGTGAAAAAGCGAACTAGAGCTATGTGAACGTAAAAGTTAAAAATTAAATTATTCATTAAAAAAATAAACAAACAGTAAGCGGCAGTTTTGCATGCAACCGTTACGTTAGACTCTGACCACCATTGAATGTACATTCTTAACGTATATTTTCGTTATGATTTATGTATATAGACATTATGTGTTCCAATATTCAGTAATTTATGGACTCATCGATGGACGCGCGTTTATTTATAATATATCTACGGCATCCATATAAATAAATACAAGTGGAACAAGTGTGTTCAGGTATCGCGCGAACAGAGCGAAATCCAACGGATGTATGCAAATTTCATTGCCATATTGTTCGCACATGTGATATACAGAATTTTGGAGAATGAGATTGGAAACGGACGTATTGTAAAAATACTGTCGTGAGAAACGATCGTTAAGGCTCTGGTCATCGAATCGAGTAGACACCTGTCGATATCCATTCGAGGCGACGTACGCTCTCTGTAAGCCATTCAACGGAAGGGACAAAGGTATCGGGAGCAGAGGTAGCAAAGGACGATTCGGTTAGTAAGTTAGTGCGAATACCCACAGAGGTCTGAGAAGTAGTCAATAGCTGTTTGTACTGATTGGTAGCTTTGAGTGAGACGCAGCGGTTTCGTAGCTTGGCGCAGACCGAGTTTCTAGCTGTTGTTAGACTCACAGCCTTCATGATGCTCTTGTCCCAAGCGATGCTAGCCTCGAGCATGTAGAGTGCCATAGCGAGTTGCGCCGACGTGTGTGCTCGTGCCGTCGCCTCCCGCCAGGTGTTCAGACCCCGTGGCGTCGTTTCTTCTGGCGGTGCAGGCGTCTGGTTATTCTGGTCAGAATTATTCGAGTTTGCGTTAGCGGCTGCTGCTTGTTCCGCCTTGAGGGCTGCCAAATTGGGGTCTCCCGTGCTATAAAATTACCAACACAAAATTAAAATATAATTAAAATGTAAACCTCTTGCTCAATAAATTTAATTTAAATATTAATTGAATGCTTGAACAATGATAATAGAAGGCATTAATTAAACAAATTTTATTTAAAAAGAATCATTTATATTTTGTCACTTTTATAAAATTTTCTTGCGAAATACGGAATCATAATTTTTCTTTTTACTATTGTACGAAGAAATTGCGAGATATAATTATTATGTACAATAAAAATAAAATAATGTAGAAAATTTATCTTACCAAACACCTAAAGGTGGTTTTAAGTATCTTCTTTCTATAGCTGCCTCCAAAGAAAGTAGCCTTTGCCGCGCTTGCTCGACTGCACTAATCTTTTCCATTTCATTCAACTTCTCAATTTCCTCGGCTTCCTCAGTTCCCGCTCGCGGCGGTAGCTTCCAACCTTTGACTTGCATGCTAGCATTAGCCACTTTATCTTCAAGCGCTTCCACTTGCTCCAAAAGTTGAGCATCTACTCGTAGCGCAACCTGGTCGCCCCAATTATTCGGATTATCGGGCTTTGGAATTGGTGTATTGGGATCATCTGGTTCCGCTTGAAGTTGCGTGGCGGAGACGTTACCAGGATCAACATTGATTTTACCGGTGACGGCTAAGAAGGATTCCATCGTCGCCCATGTTGTGCGTTTTAACTCTTTCTCGCGGACACCGCGGGAGTGTAGATGCTCG